ACTTCTGTTTATTTCTGTTTTGCTCTGGTTCTACTGTTCTTCAAGCCCCAGACCTTGCTTGGGGAGAACAACTTTCAGAAGTCACTCCAGGTATACTCCAGGTATACTCCAGGTATACTCCAGTCATACACCAGGTACACTCCAGGTATACTCCAGTCATACACCAGGTATACTCCAGGTATACTCCAGTCATACACCAGGTATACTCCAGACATACTCCAGGTACACATTGTGTATCCTCCATAGTTCCTCTGTCAACTTTTCCACACCTCACACGCGTGCAGGCGCTGGTGTGACGGTCTGGTGGGTGGGAGTGAGGGGGGGGGGGGTGAGGGGGTTAGGTGGGTAGGTGGGTGGGGGGTGGTAACAGGTATTTACCCCACCCACCACCACACATCCGGTGCCACCCACCCAACTCACTACCTGTCCACACCCACGGCCAATTTACCGCGCTTGGCACACCCCCTTCATCCGCTCCACCCCCACCCACCCTCGACCCACCCACCCACCACCCACCCTCCACCCACGTAGGTCTTGGGTGTGTGGGGTGTCGTCTTGTCCTGATTGTGCTTCCGGTGATGGGTTCTGTTGGGGTTCTTCCACAGATCTTCTCCACGGTGGGGTTTGATAAGGTGTGTCTCCTGAAGGTCCCTGTGGCCTCCTGCTCCTTCCTGTCGCCTCCTCCTCCTCCTCCTCCTTCTTCTTCCTAGTGTCTTTAACTTGCATTTGCTGGAATTAATCTCTGGATTTCTCTTGGTCAATCATTTAATTTGTTCAGTGCTTGTGTGTGTGTGTAAGTTGGCTCGGAGATATAGAGGCACGAGAGAGAGAGAGAGAGAGAGAGAGAGAGAGAGAGAGAGAGAGAGAGAGAGAGAGAGAGAGAGAGAGAGAGAGAGAGAGAGAGAGAGAGTGAGAGAGAGAGTGAGAGAGAGAGTGAGAGAGAGAGTGAGAGAGAGTGAGTGAGAGTCAACACTGGGTGAGGTTAGTGAGGACAGGCTAAGGCTGGGCCTCACACCGGGTACAGCACTGAACTTGCTGTTATTTTGGTCTGTGAATTACAGGCAGATCCTTCCATAATTCGGGAAGCACAATCCGTTCTGATTCAAGGTCGCCTCTCTGGGACACTGCGTGTGTGTGTGTGTGTGTGTGTGTGTGTGTGTGTGTGTGTGTGTGTGTGTGTGTGTGTGTGTGTGTGTGTGTGTGTGTGAGAGTTGAGTGTGTTTGGGCGGGGTAAAAGGAGGGCGTCGTCGTCTGCAGAGTGAGTGGGTGGCACCTCCAACCTTCCCTCTCTCCATCCCCCCATTCCCTCCTCTCCCACTACCCTTCCCCGTCACTCATACCTACATCAGCACCTACACCACAACACCCACTCGTCAACTGGCTCCAGTGGTGGCATGAGGGCCACGCCAGGAGTCACCCACCCACCCCCACCAACCTACCAGCGTCCCCCACACCACACCCGTCATCATCCAAAGCCACGTCAACATGTTTTTCGTCCAGCCATAAACCACGTACATTCGTGCTGTCATATGTTCACACGTGCCCATCCCATGGCCTCGCGCACGAAAATATATGTTTATATAACATTTCAAGTGGGGCTTGAGCTTGATATTTGGAGTACGGCCCAGCAGCCAGTGCCAGGGACGGTCCAACAGTGCCCGAGGCACCTTTGCCGAGTGGGGCAGTGCCACTGTACAGGACCTTGTTTGAAAGTGCCACTATACAGGACCTTGTTTAAAAGTGCCACTGTACAGGACCTTGTTTGAAAGTGCCACTGTGCAGGACCTTGTTTGAAAGTGCCACTATACAGGACCTTGTTTAAAAGTGCCACTGTACAGGACCTTGTTTGAAAGTGCCACTATACAGGACCTTGTTTGAAAGTGCCACTATACAGGACCTTGTTTAAAAGTGCCACTATACAGGACCTTGTTTAAAAGTGCCACTGTACAGGACCTTGTTTAAAGTCCCACTATACAGGACCTTGTTTGAAAGTGCCATTATACAGGACCTTGTTAGAAAGTGCCACTATACAGGACCTTGTTTGAAAGTGCCACTATACAGGACCTTGTTTGAAAGTGCCACTGTACAGGACCTTGTTTGAAAGTGCCACTATACAGGACCTTGTTTAAAAGTGCCACTATACAGGACCTTGTTTGAAAGTGCCACTATACAGGACCTTGTCTAAAAGTGCCACTATACAGGACCTTGTCTAAAAGTGCCACTATACAGGACCTTGTCTAAAAGTGCCACTATACAGGACCTTGTCTAAAAGTGCCACTATACAGGACCTTGTCTAAAAGTGCCACTATACAGGACCTTGTCTGAAAGTGCCACTATACAGGACCTTGTCAGAAAGTGCCACTATACAGGACCTTGTCTGAAAGTGCCACTATACAGGACCTTGTCAGAAAGTGCCACTATACAGGACCTTGTCTGAAAGTGCCACTCTACAGGACCTTGTCAGAAAGTGCCACTATACAGGACCTTGTCAGAAAGTGCCACTATACAGGACCTTGTCAGAAAGTGCCACTCTACAGGACCTTGTCAGAAAGTGCCACTCTACAGGACCTTGTCAGAAAGTGCCACTGTACAGGACCTTGTCTGAAAGTGCCACTATACAGGACCTTGTCAGAAAGTGCCACTATACAGGACCTTGTCAGAAAGTGCCACTCTACAGGACCTTGTCAGAAAGTGCCACTCTACAGGACCTTGTCTGAAAGTGCCACTATACAGGACCTTGTCAGAAAGTGCCACTATACAGGACCTTGTCTGAAAGTGCCACTATACAGGACCTTGTCTGAAAGTGACCATTCACCACGGTACAGTACACATCCACGAGAACAGAAACACTGAAGATATTCAATAGTTTCGTATCATTCCCCTGGGGCTCTGAGAGACTCGAACCGCGAATCCCACGCGTTTGTGAGGCCAAAACTCCTTCAGTAGTGTCTTGTAATACTTAAATAAGGGCATTATCATGAGAAAGTGCTAAGCCGGTATGACTCTGTAGGCTCTGGCTGGGATACGAGAAGGAGCTCTAGGAACTCTAGGAGCTCCTCAAATTCCTCTAGGAGTTCCTCTAGGAGCTCTAAAGGCTCTTTAAGACTTCACATCATGACTGAGGTGTACTCTCGCGGCTGTTCCTGGTACTTCGATCTTCCTGGCTGGGTGAGTAGATGATGATTGTGTAGTTAGTGCGTGTAATGGGGCCTTGTCGGGCTGTTTGTTGCCACTAATCTGGCTTTGTGGGTTGGTTAGTGTGCACTAACTAGTGGATTGTGCCTGGTAACCTGTGAGCTTTGTTAACTCTGCGATTTAAAAAAATATGTATGTGGTATGTTTTTTACCAAGTGGTGAGAGAGAGACTTGTACACTCTCTCTCTCTCTCTCTCTCTCTCTCTCTCTCTCTCTCTCTCTCTCTCTCTCTCTCTCTCTCTCTCTCTCTCTCTCTCTCTCTCTCTCACTGCTACCGTGGCACTACCATGCATCTCTTATATCAGCAGGGTGGCACCTTCACCCAGAGTGCCAGCATGGAGGTCCGCAGGCACTCGACGGGTCCTGGGGCTGGAGCCTGACCCCCTTACGACCGCTCAGAGTGGATGGCTCCGTAATTGTGACCTGAAGTGTGTAGGGGCTGCTGGTCCTCGGCTGTCAATATGTGGGATTTGGTTTGAGGATGTGAAGGTGGGGTTGTGTGGGGCGGCTGGTCTCTGGCTGGTCTCTTGTGCGTCTTCTGTTTAGCCTTGTTTTAGTCCTCTTCTTCGTCGCCCTTCTTATCCTGTTTCCTCCTCCTTCTCTTCCTTAATCTTCGTGCTTCTCTTCCTATGTGGAACCAAATGAGAGTCACAGTTAATATAACGAATTGGGTTGTAAGTCATCTATTTAACGCCCTCCTAGATGACCTGAGACTACAGGTACCAAACTTGAATGGGGGAAGGAAGAGATAGAAAGGAGATAGAGATAGAGGAGGAATGTAGAGGGAGAGACAGTGGGATAATTAAAAGAATAAGAAAGAGAGATAAAATATTTCTGGTAACCAGTAAGGCTGGCCTCAGATCACGCTGCGACAAGTGAACTCTTGAAATCTTCTACAGGTATTCTTTTCTTCCTTTTCCCCATTTGCCTTAGTGTCGTGTGTGATGGGTACACTTCTCTTTTTACCTTAGTCCGCCCTTGTCCAAACCCAGGTGGCTGAACCCTCTGAAGATCTTGCCTCATACCCTAACTGCTTGTTATCTTACCTGAAAGTGGTTCTGGGGATCCTCCTTTCCCCAGGCCGGGCTTGGCGGAGTTAGAAGAACTCCCGAAATCCTCTCCAGGTATGCTCCAGGCTGTCTAATTGTTGGTCTGGTCAACCAGGCTGTTGAATGCAGCTGCTCGCAGCCTTTCATAAAAATCACAACCCGAAAATCTGCCCATAACTTCCATATAAGTGAATGATGTACTTAAGGGAATGAGCTTGTACTGGTTATGAATGTAAGGAAGTACAGTGCAATGGACGGGTGGTCAACAAATGGAATGCACTGAAAGAACAAGCTACGGAAGCCACCTCCATCCATAACCTATTGGCCAGATTTGGCAAAGAATTTGAACGTCAGAATTAAGTGGTAACGTATTAGGTTCAACAAGGCTAGAAGGCGGGGCCCAAGAGCCAGACTTCACCATCTTCGTCGTCACTGGTATGCAAGGACTCACCGTGTCAGCAGAGGGGGCCTGGCTTGATTCACAAGATCTCCAGCACTCTACACTGAACGTTTGCCATTGCACTCTGCAACACGCATACCTGCACTCTGTCCAGCGTTGCACGACCGTTGCAGAGAAGCTCAACATATACAGACACACTGCAGAAGCCACCTTAATCTATTTATATGTATCTGTCTTGCAAGAGGTCAATCTATCACTCTGGTGTATAAATTGGTGTTGCATCTGTGATGGTAAATATTTACTGTTTTTTGTTGCGTAATGTTGCTAGTCCTTCCATTTGTGGCAACACTGACTTATTAGGCCTCGTGTCTCTGATACGTCTTGATATGTGCAGTGTTGCATGCTTTCCTTATCCTCTGGGCCAGCTCTAAATGATCTGGACCTGATCCTCCTGTTAGAGGATCTGATCCTCCTGTTACAGGAACTGATCCTCCTGTTAGAGGATCTGATCCTCCTGTTAGAGGATCTGATCCTCCTGTTAGAGGATCTGATCCTCCTGTTACAGGAACTGATCCTCCTGTTAGAGGATCTGATCCTCCTGTTACAGGAACTGATCCTCCTGTTAGAGGATCTGATCCTCCTGTTCCAGGATCTGATCCTCCTGTTAGATGACCTGATCCTCCTGTTAGAGGATCTGATCCTCCTGTTGCAGGATCTGATCCTCCTGTTAGATGACCTGATCCTCCTGTTAGAGGATCTGATCCTCCTGTTGCAGGATCTGATCCTCCTGTTAGATGACCTGATCCTCCTGTTAGATGACCTGATCCTCCTGTTAGAGGACCTGATCCTCCTGTTAGATGATCTGATCCTCCTGTTAGAGGATCTGATCCTCCTGTTGCAGGATCTGATCCTCCTGTTAGATGACCTGATCCTCCTGTTAGAGGACCTGATCCTCCTGTTAGATGATCTGATCCTCCTGTTAGAGGACCTGATCCTCCTGTTAGATGACCTGATCCTCCTGTTAGATGACCTGATCCTCCTGTTAGAGGACCTGATCCTCATGTTAGAGGATCTGAACCTCCTGTTAGAGGATCTGATCCTCCTGTTAGAGGATCTGATCCTCCTGTTAGAGGATCTGATCCTCCTGTTAGATGACCTGATCCTCCTGTTTGAGGATCTGATCCTCCTGTTACAGGAACTGATCCTCCTGTTAGAGGATCTGATCCTCCTGTTAGAGGATCTGATCCTCCTGTTAGAGGATCTGATCCTCCTGTTAGAGGATCTGATCCTCCTGTTAGAGGATCTGATCCTCCTGTTAGAGGATCTGATCCTCCTGTTAGATGACCTGATCCTCCTGTTTGAGGATCTGATCCTCCTGTTACAGGAACTGATCCTCCTGTTAGAGGATCTGATCCTCCTGTTACAGGATCTGATCCTCCTGTTAGATGACCTAATCCTCCTGTTTGAGGATCTGATCCTCCTGTTACAGGAACTGATCCTCCTGTTAGAGGATCTGATCCTCCTGTTAGAGGATCTGATCCTCCTGTTAGAGGATCTGATCCTCCTGTTACAGGATCTGATCCTCCTGTTACAGGATCTGATCCTCCTGTTACAGGATCTGATCCTCCTGTTAGAGGATCTGATCCTCCTGTTAGAGGATCTGATCCTCCTGTTACAGGAACTGATCCTCCTGTTAGAAGATCTGATCCGCCTTTTAGAGGATCTGATCCGCCTGTTAGAGGATCTGATCCTCCTGTAAGAAGATCTGATCCTCCTGTTAGAGGATCAGATCCGCCTGTTAGAGGATCTGATCCTCCTGTAAGAAGATCTGATCCTCCTGTTAGAGGATCTGATCCTCCTGTTAGAGGACCTGATCCTCCTGTTAGATGACCTGATCCTCCTGTTAGATGACCTGATCCTCCTGTTAGAGGACCTGATCTGCCTGTTAGAGGATCTGATCCTCCTGTAAGATGACCTGATCCTCCTGTTAGATGACCTGATCCTCCTGTTAGAGGACCTGATCCTCCTGTTAGATGACCTGATCCTCCTGTTAGATGACCTGATCCTCCTGTAAGAGGACCTGATCCTCCTGTTACAGGATCTGATCCTCTTGTTAGATGACCTGATCCTCCTGTTAGATGACCTGATCCTCCTGTTAGAGGATCTGATCCTCCTGTTAGAGGATCTGATCCGCCTGTTAGAAGATCTGATCCTCCTGTAAGAAGATCTGATCCTCCTGTTAGAAGATCTGATCCTCCTGTTAGAGGATCTGATCCTCCTGTTAGAGGATCTGATCCTCCTGTTAGAGGATCTGATCCTCCTGTTAGAGGATCTGATCCTCCTGTTAGAGGATCTGATCCTCCTGTTAGAGGATCTGATCCTACTGTTAGAGCTGATACTCCTGTTAGAGGACCTGATCCTCCTGTTTCAATCCAAACCCTCTCGCCGTTAATGCTATGACATTCTGCGTGACGCAACTGATGTTTTGACCATCATAGCTTGTAGGATCCAACTCTACTAGTGTACCTGGAGACCCATGCAAAAATGAATAGTGTATATTCTCTGCTCTATGGGCCATTGTATCATACAGGATCCTACTTCCTTGCCCATTATTCTATGAGTAATCTGATCCCTTTAATCCATAATGGGTAACATAAGGTATACTCTTGCCATTTACTGAACCTAATATCCAAGCCTGGTTAAGGGGAGCCTCAAGGAGGAGGATCTGATCCTATGTCGTAAGAGAATTGAATGTCTTAAGTGGTACGGTTTTTGTTTTGCTGTCTTAGTCTATGTAAACCACCTCCAGGGGTACTGAGAGGGGATCACAAAGCCGTAACAAAATCCAACGGTTTTGCCTAACCAGGAGCGTTAGAACCTTGGCAGCGCATTCTCAGTACAGTCCCAGGCAATGTCAGCTTTACGGTGATTTGTATTTCCCCAAACGGCTGCAATTTTTACGTTGCGTCGATAGGGTTAAAAATGTAGTGTTTAGTGGGGGGTTCAGGGTGTGGGGGGGGGGGGTTTACAGGGTGTGGAGGCTCCAGGGTGTGGAGGCTCCAGGGTGTGGAGGCTCCAGGGGTGTGGAGGCTCCAGGGTGTGGAGGCTCCAGGGTGTGGAGGCTCCAGGGTGTGGAGGCTCCAAGGGTGTGGAGGCTCCAGGGTGTGGAGGCTCCAGGGTGTGGAGGCTCCAGGGGTGTGGAGGCTCAAGGGTGTGGAGGCTCCAGGGATGTGGAGGCTCCAGGGATGTGGAGGCTCCAGGGATGTGGAGGCTCCAGGGATGTGGAGGCTCCAGGGTGTGGAGGCTCCAGGGTGTGGAGGCTCCAGGGTGTGGAGGCTCCAGGGTGTAGAGGCTCCAGGGATGTGGAGGCTCCAGGGATGTGGAGGCTCCAGGGTGTGGAGGCTCCAGGGTGTGAAGGCTCCAGGGTGTGGAGGCTCCAGGATGTGGAGGCTCCAGGGTGTGGAGGCTCCAGGGTGTGGAGGCTCCAGGGTGTGGAGGCTCCAGGGTGTGGAGGCTCCAGGGTGTGGAGGCTCAAGGGTGTGGAGGCTCCAGGGTGTGGAGGCTCCAGGGTGTGGAGGCTCAAGGGTGTGGAGGCTCCAGGGTGTGGAGGCTCCAGGGGTGTGGAGGCTTAAGGGTGTGGAGGCTCCAGGGTGTGGAGGCTCCAGGGTGTGGAGGCTCCAGGGTGTGGAGGCTCCAGGGGTGTGGAGGCTCAAGGGTGTGAAGGCTCCAGGGTGTGGAGGCTCCAGGGTGTGGAGGCTCCAGGGATGTGGAGGCTCCAGGGATGTGGAGGCTCCAGGGATGTGGAGGCTCCAGGGTGTGGGGGCTCCAGGGTGTGGAGGCTCCAGGGTGTGGAGGCTCCAGGGTGTGGAGGCTCCAGGGTGTGGAGGCTCCAGGGTGTGGAGGCTCCAGGGTGTGGAGGCTCCAGGGTGAGGAGGGTTCAGGGTGTGGAGGCTCCAGGGTGTGGAGGCTCCAGGGTGTGGAGGCTCCAGGGTGTGGAGGCTCCAGGGTGTGTAGGCTCCAGGGTGTGGAGGCTCCAGGGTGTGGGGTTTACAGGGTGTGGAGGCTCCAGGGTGTGGAGGCTCCAGTGTGTGGAGGCTCCAGGGTGTGGAGGCTCCAGGGTGTGCAGGCTCCAGGGTGTGGGGGTTACAGGGTGTGGAGGCTCCAGGGTGTGGAGGCTCCAGGGTGTGGGGGTTACAGGGTGTGGAGGCTCCAGGATGTGGAGGCTCCAGGGGTGTGGAGGCTCCAGGGTGTGGAGGCTCCAGGGGTGTGGAGGCTCCAGGGTGTGGGGGTTACAGGGTGTGGAGGCTCCAGGATGTGGAGGCTCCAGGGGTGTGGAAGCTCCAGGGTGTGGAGGCTCCAGGGGTGTGGAGGCTCCAGGGGTGTGGAGGCTCCAGGGTGTGGAGGCTCCAGGGTGTGGAGACTCCAGAGTGTGGAGGCTCTAGGGTGAGGAGGCTCCAGGGTGTGGAGGCTCCAGGGTGTGGAGACTCCAGAGTGTGGAGGCTCTAGGGTGAGGAGGCTCCAGGGTGTGGAGGCTCCAGGGTGTGGAGACTCCAGAGTGTGGAGGCTCTAGGGTGAGGAGGCTCCAGGGTGTGGAGACTCCAGAGTGTGGAGGCTCTAGGGTGAGGAGGCTCCAGGGTGTGGAGGCTCAAGGGTGTGGAGGCTCCAGGGTGTGGAGGCTCCAGGGTGTGGCGGCTCCAGGGTGTGGAGGTACAGTAAGGAGTATATCATAGCCCCTTACCTCCCCCAGGGGAAGATATGTTGACCCTGGGAGTGAGTCCAGCCAGGGGGGTGGACCCCAAGGAGTCGGGCCAGAGAGTGGACCGAGGAATGGACCACATAATGGACCGAGGAATGGACCACATAATGGACCGAGGAATGGACCACATAATGGACCGAGGAATGGACCAGAGAGCGAAAGGACCAGTGATAGCTTACAGCATCACAGCCAAAACTACATAATCCAAGAGTCCCTCGGAGTGCCATCTGCACCACAGGTCCTTGAGAAGAAGTTAAATATGCCATAACAGTGCCATATAGTGCCATGGTGGGAGGAGAGAGAGAGATCCGGGAGTACACATAGGGTGACCTAATACCCTCTTAAGCTAAACAACTTAATAAGTATCAACAACGTGTCAGCAGATTTGAATGCAATCTACTCTGCTGCAGACCACAGACCTCAGACACACCCCGGGCATCAGAGCGTCTACACGCGCTCCCTTACACACGCTACAAGCTAGTTCGTGGCCCGTGTAGAAGATAGAAGATATATATATATTTTATAATAAAACTAAGAAAAAGCAGTGGACGTTTGGTACTCCAATTCCTGCCCACAACCTAATCATTCTACAACAACATCGACCGATGTAACACTGGTTGGCAGCTTAGTGGGATTCACCGCTGTCCTCCAGCAGCACAGCAGCTCACAGCAGCGCAGGAGCACAGCAACACAGCAGCTCACAGCAGCTCACAGCAGCTCACAGCAGCGCACAGCAGCTCACAGCAGCTCACAGCAGCACAGCGTCGCAGCAGCACAGCAACACAGCAGCAGCACAGCAACACAGCATCGCAACAGTTCAGCGTGCCTGACTCACCCAGCGTGCCCCGTGCCTTGTTCACCCAGCGCGCGCCCCTGACTCACTCACCCAGCGCGCGCCCGTGCCTGACTCACCGCGTGCCACCAGCTGACTCGCCGTGACTCACCGTGACTCAACGAGCCTTGGTGCCTGCATGACGTCACCTTACCACCCCTCGCTGTCTGGCCTGACGACTTCTACCGCGCCTGACGTCTCCTGCCGCGCCTGACGTCTCCTGCCGCGCCTGACGTCTCCTGCCGCCTGACGACTTCTGCCGCACCTGACGTCTCCTGCCGCCTCCCGACGCCGACGACGCCGACGACGCCGCAGCACGACGCCACAGCACGACGCCGGACCTGTGACGACCAGATCATCTCTGCCCTGTTGAACGGATTGCAGCGCCAGCAGCCTTCAGCTCTAGTTAAGTACCCTTTGTTATTTGTGTAGTAGAGTAAACTGTGGACTTTCGTGGGCACAATGTAAACTTACTTTATGGATAACCGATACTCGCTCAGGCCTCGCTCGCGCACTTACCCCTACAGTCTACGGTCTCGTTCACTATCGGAGAGTAACTTACTCTTAACTAGTGAGCTCGCTCACTTATCCTTAGCCAGTGACCTCCCAACCTCAGCTCTCGGTAGCTTATCCTCATTAACCTCTACAACCAGCAGCGACTCAGTAATCATGACTCAAGCCCTGAATTCTGCGGGTTCTAACTCGAACACCGTTACAGTTCTTACACAGTCTGTTGACATTCGCCCGTTTAGTGGAAAGGATCCAACCCTCTTGGAGACATGGTTCGCTAGTGTAGAGGCTAGAGCGAGGAGCAAGGGTACTGCTGTCACAGACGCAGACTATATCAGTATGGCGACGTCCACACTTGACTATAAATCTGGAGATGCGTATCTCGTAGCAGGAACACCTGACTTAAAGAAAATTGTAAACTGGGAAGAATTTAAGAAATTCTTTCGTAGGAGATATATATCGGTAGTTGATCGTGATCCCTTTGGCATTGCTTGCCAATTAGCTACTGCGGTAATGCGTCCTGATGAAACACGCAATGCTTTTGCCACGCGTCTAGCTATGCTACAGGACTCACTGGAGAAAGCCTTGATGGGTTCTAGATGGGATGCTAGTGGAAGCTTCACTATACAGAATGTGGGTAAACTATTGGCGTTCGGTGCCATGCAGAGTCATGCCCCCGAGGCCATACTGAAAGACATTGAGGCTAGGAATTTTGGTCCTAGCCACACACTTTGGGACTTAATGGACGTCATGGTAGAGTCCACAGACAGGCTAAAGTCCCGGGATTCTGCCCAGCTTTCTGCCGTTTTTCGTGCAAACAGTTCCCATACCACTGTGAACGTTGTCACGCGTTCTACCCCAAGACATGTTCAGACTCGTGCTAGGTCTCCTCCGCCTTCGTATGACCCCAGGTCATACTCTAGGACAGGCTCCCCTCAATACCCTCAGCGACCTCGAACGCCAGAATGTTTTAACTGTGGCAAACAAGGCCACCGTAAGGCAGAGTGTACATCAACTAACACTCGTTACCAACAGCATGCTAGACATAACTACACAGGCCGATCACATGATCACACCCGTTCTTATTGCACATATCACCGCCGACCTGGACATGACACTGCTGACTGTAGAGCCCGCCACGGTACTAACCAGGCTAACCGTTCTAGTCCTACTTCCCCTTCCCGTAGGCAACCGCAGGCTGCAACAACTAACCAGCGCCGACCGAGCCCTACACGTAGCCCTGCGACCCGACCGACTGCCCATGTTAGGTTCGCAACGACTGACAGCCGTGACACAGATGGACACCGTGACTCGCGCGTGATAAACGGCGCCACGGCCGTCAAGGATAATGCAGACACGACCTACGAACACACAGGTCAGCCCTTTGACTCTCAGTCGGGGGAAGGTATAGCAGCCTGGGTAAACGGTATGACGTAGGGAAGCGAGACGACCTCCCTGTATACTCAGTGCCTACCTGTAACAGGTACAGTACCTTAGCAGAGGAGGATAACATGGACGAACTACACACTGACGGTACTCGTGTACATGTACTCCAGACACCACATCGACCATGTCAGTCTCGTAATAACATGTTTAACAGGATGCCTATCAAGGACACAGAAGGTCCTCTGATTTCAGCCACTCTGAAGGGTCGACATGTTAAGATTTTCCTAGACACAGGAGCTAGAGTCAACATCATTAAACAAGACGCCCTTCATGGCCTACGCGATCGACTCGATATACGACAGTCGTCTGTTTCCAACCTTGGTGGACTTACTGGAGGAATGACTCCGGCGTTAGGTGAAGCAGACATAGAGTTAATAGTTAATGACAGATCACTCACCGTGCCATGTGTAATAGCCGGTGCAGTACGATTCCCTGGAGACATCCTACTCGGATTAAACACCATGAGAGACTACCGAGTTACTATCGATGCTTACCGTTGGGAAGCAACAATTGGTGATACAGTGGTACCTCTTTGCAGTGTGTACACCATGGGACATGAGTTCACCAACCATTGGGACTATGTCAGGTACATACAAACCAGGGGAGACCAGGGTACACTTAACCAGTCACGCCCAAACAAACCCGTCACTCAGTCACTTACTGACACCAGACCAACGCACGTTTCCACAGTCTCGCAGGTCGGTGAGGTCAATGAATCTTTGCAAGGGGCCCCAGCGATTGTTCATTACCTTACTTGCCTAGAGTCTAACATCAATCAAGTCAGAGGCATCTTACACCAAGACACAGTCTTACATTCTCATGCACTAACAAAGGTTATTTTCAAAATACCTGGTGTATCTGACCTAGAACACGTAATAGCTGACAGTGACACATGTCAAATCAATGGTACCTACATAGAACCGTCCTTACATCAGGTGCAGAATAACACTACTGCTGTTTATGTTGCCCACGTCACCAATGCCAACATTCACCTTGCATCAGGCACACACATTGTTGACTTTGCCCATTATTCGTTACCGGTGCGAGTAGTGGATGAGGTCTCTACTGACCAAATAGTACATGCACTCACTCACACAACAAATCGAGATCAGATCGCGATCTCACCTGTGCATCTTAGCGCCACTGACTTTCCTGACGCCCAATCTCAGTTACTGACCATCCTCAACAAGCATCGCAACGTTGTTGCACTGACAGGTAAACAACTTGGATTGACACACCTCATTTCTCACAAAATTCCACTGGAACCAGGTACTCGCCCAATTTTTGTACCCGCTTACAGATTGCCTCATTCTCAACGAGCTGTTGCAGACCGACTCATTGACGAGATGTTACATGATGGCGTTATTGAAGAAAGTACTTCACCATGGAATGCTCCGTTAATCTTAGTACCCAAGAAGGATGGCTCTTGGCGTCCCGTCGTTGATTTCAGGAAACTTAATCAAGTTACGATTCCTGATCGATTTCCACTTCCCGTGCTTACCGACTTATTGCAGAACATAGGTCAGAATAAGGTTTTTTCCACACTTGATTTATTGCAAGGATTTTGGCAGATACCGCTCGATCCAGAAAGTCGAGAACTGACGGCGTTTTCCGTCCCTAATGGTCATTACCAGTACACCCGCATGCCTTTTGGCTTACGCAGCAGCCCTATTACCTTCTCGAGGCTTATGACAGACCTGTTCCGACGAATGATAGGAAATACCCTCATGGTCTACCTCGATGACCTCATTATCATGTCCAAGGATGTACCCTCACATCTTCAAAGTTTGGACCGAGTCCTTCAGAAACTAGCTGAAGCCAATCTGAAAATCAAACTTAGCAAATGCGCCTTCATGAGAGAAAAAATACAGTTTCTCGGCCATAACGTCACCTCGCAAGGCATCACCACTCTAGATTCAAAGATAGAAGCTGTCAAGAACTTTCCAGTCCCTCATAATGCTGAAGCAGTACAAAAGTTCGTAGGCCTAGCTGGATTTTACCGCCATTTCATTGCCGGTTATTCAGTGATTGCATCTCCTCTCACTCACCTCCTTAAGAAGGACGTTCCGTTCGTTTGGACAACTGATCAAGAGAAAGCATTTCAAACGCTCAAAGAAGCCCTGATATCTTCTCCTGTTCTCAAATTCCCAGACTTCACCAAACCGTTCATTTTAGTTACTGACGCCAGTAACATTGGGTTAGGAGCCGTACTCGCTCAAACTAGTGACAGAAAAGAACATGCCATTGCATATGCGAGCCGAGTCCTCTCTAAAGCTGAAAAGAATTATTCGACAACCGAGCGCGAAGCGTTGGCTGTCGTATGGGCACTCAAACATTTCAGAGATATCATCTATAACTACCCTGTCCATGTACTGACGGACCACCAAGCTATCATTCCCTTGTTCAGAGACAAGAACCCCATAGGCAAGTTTGCCCGTTGGTCGCTCACCATACAAGAGTTCCTACCCACGTTTGGATACTTACCTGGCAAACACAATGTAGTTGCCGATGCTCTCTCCCGTTACGTCGCTCCCGTTCACGTTGAATACCCTTCATTAGACTTGCGAGATGTAGAACTCGCACAACGACAAGACCCAATGTGGGCACCGATCATAAGCTTTCTCATGGACCCGCACACGACTCTTACGGTCAAGCCACCCGTACCACTCAAGGAACTAGTACTCTTAGATCATGTGCTCCATCGCAAAGTTATGCTGGGATCGCCTGCCAGACGGGTACATCAACTTGTTATTCCTGCGTCGATAGTTCCTACTGTATTAAAACTTGTTCACGACGCCCCACACAGTGCGCATCCTGGCAAGGACCGCACCATCAAGCAGGCTCGTCTTATGTACTACTGGCCCAAAATGGCCAAACAGATTGAACGTCACATGGATCAATATCTAACCTGCCTAGCTCACAGAGGCCATGTTGCTGGCCCGAACCCGATTCAGACTTACCCTATGACTAATGCACCTTGGGATCGTGTTTCATGGATTTATTAACAAATTTTGCTGAAACTTCCAGAGGAAATAAATATCTCCTAGTTATGGTAGATAACTTCTCTAGATACTGTGAACTGGTTCCAATTCCAAACAAGACTGCAGAAACTATAGCTAGTGCCTTTCATGATCATATAATTTGCAGGTATGGTCCACCTAGAGTTATACTCTCTGACAACGGCCCGGAATTCAACAATTCTGTTCTGGAACAACTGTCTGCATTGTACAACATCAAAAAGTGTAATATAATGCCTTATCAACCGGGCTAGCAATGGCCTTGCTGAAAGAACTAACAAGAAGGTCCTTGACGCACTCAGAGTGACAGTCAATCGGGACAGTCACAAATGGGATGAACTTATGCCAATCGTCCAATATTCGATAAACTCCTCTATAGGAGACACACCTCACTTTGTGCTATTTGGGACAGACATGAGATTTCCTAATGCCATCATCTCCTCGCCGCCGGCGCCACTCTACAACTATGACGACTATGTTAAGGTCAAACGGAGAGACACTCAACTGGTGTTCCAGAGGGTCAAGGAACATCTCTCTAAAGCTACTGATGATTTCACGCGGTTACAAAACGCTCATGCTAAACCTACGAGAATAGGACCTGGATCTTTAGTAATGATCCTCAACCAGCGACGAGATGGTCCCATGTACAAACTGACTGAGAAGTTTCTGGGTCCTTACAGAGTTCTTGAGCATATCAC